TTGCAACTTTTTATAGCTTCCAAGATCTATGTTGTGATTGGCACTTAACGTTGACTTGAGCATCGAAAAAATCGTCCACAACGTCGAAGATTTATATTTCTTAGATAGTTCTTCAAAATACACCATTACTGCGTTTTCTGAGAAAGTTTGGACATTTTTGGCTAGTCGCCAGTCCATAAATCGGCTTAACTCAGCTTCATATCTGCTTCTGGACTTTGTGGGCAGCAGTTCCGAACATATTTCGCTTGCTTTCTGTAAAATCTCTTCAGAATCACACATTTTCACACCCAAACTTCAGGAATTCAAGAATTTTTGAAGTATCTAATCAACAAAATAAAGGAGCCGTGACGGTTGCTATGAAACTCGGCCAACTTGAAACATTGCATAATTTGGGTGACAACATCAAACAAAAATCACAATCTGGAGACGCGTGTGCAAAGATGACATAACCGTGTGCAAAATGTTTAGCACACGGCGTGTGCAAAATACCGTTTTCAGAGCGTGTTTTCCGTGCGCAAATCCCCCTTTTACAAGGCAGCATCAGAATTCAGTACATCAATGAAGCATCTACCTTTCTAACGCATACCTTACTAGAAATTCTATTTTTGAAAAGTGTTTCGGAACGCACATTATATTATCAACACCACAAAAGTTATGTTGCTTGAAACTTTTACCACTGATGTTTAAATTGCAGTTGTTCCGTCTTTAGACGAACCAATTCCTGGCTGGATTGAAAACTTCAATGGCCCAGTAGGTCTGCTCTGTGGTGGAGGAAAAGGTGAATAGAAAATTATATTTAACATTACTATGATTAATGTCAAGATTTGATCAAACGAAATTTTTTTATTTGTTTGGATTTCATTAACTAACACCGTTTTCGCTTATTTCAATTTTTTTTGTAAAGGAAAATAATTTTTCAAAAAATATTGGTATGTCTAAATAATGGACGTGAATTGAATGAAACAAAACAATAGCGGAGCAAATATATTATATTTTTTTATCAAATTATTTCCAATCTGTGGTGGTTAATACTTTGAGAAATTACATCGATTTTGAATAAAAGCAAATATTTATTAATAAAGCATATTAAAAGATACTAACACCTGTTTAATATTATATTTCTAGGTGTATTACAAACATGTTATGGAGAAGAAAATTCCACTTTTGATTGGATTCCAGTGGACATTTTAACAAAGTTGTTAATTCTGATTACCTACGAAAAGGCATTATCTAAGTAAGTGTCTTTAATATTAATTTTAAACATTTTATTGAAAAAATATAATTCTTCAGAAATCATTCCTTATAAGATCTAGAAACAAATCCCAACGCTGAAGAATTATTTAAAATTTCTAAATATACAGGGTGTCCCATTTTTATTCTGAAAAAATTCAGGAAAAGGTAGATCCGATAAAATTAAAGGGACTTTTTTTATTTCGAAATCTGAACCCTTTCCGAAATACAGGGTGTTGTAGTTGATTTTTTTTTTATTTTTTGTTAATATCTCTTAGAGTTATAAATCAATTATTCTCAAATTTTTTGTGGTGAATGTCACAGTGCACTAATACTAATACACAAAATCTCAGCTGAACAGAAAGGGCCAGTGGAGTGCATTTTGCTCTTGCCGATACCTTTTATAAAAAATATGTGTTACGCCACTGACTGATCTTCAAATTAATAAGTAGTTTCAATTGTCCGTACACTGCCGGCCCTTTGAAGGTGGACGATTTATTTTTCTAATGTGATATGGTCTACTTTTTATTATGACATGTTTTTATATGTCAGTGTCATTATTAGTAATTTGCATTCAAGATGCCGCGTTTAACGCGTAGATGTAGATCATCCGCGTCATTGCGGATGATCTACATGTATGCAAGAATAGCATATTTAAACTCAAGGAAAAATGGATTGCGGAGGGTCACGTACGTTATGTTCACGGAGGTGGACGTCGAAAAGTAAGCACCACCTAAGAATAAATCCTTTTGACATCGCAGTAACGGCTTCCCTTAAAACGAATTTTCCTGGATCAGTGCGAACTGCAAGGAAGCGTGTGAAAGATTCGGGACTGAAGAATTATATGGCCGCAAATATAGTTGCTTTGACTCCCCAGATAAAAAACAGAGGTTAGAGTTTGCAAGACAATGTGTAGGAAGCCCAGACAACTTCTGGGTGAATATTATATTTTCGGACGAAAAAAGTTTTCAGTCTTGCTCCGATGCTTCAGTCCGTGTCTACCCACCAGAGATTATAAGGTTTTCGGAGCCTTTATGTGAAACCCACACAGCGCAGCGATGGATTCTCCATTAACGTTTGGGCTTGGATAAGCTGCCAAAGTCCTGATGTTTGTTGTGACTATGCTGTATCCTCAGAATTTCTTTTTCAAGCAGGATAATTGTCGTCAGAATGGTTCATTGATAACAACATCGATGTTTTACCTTGGCCCTCAAAGTCCTGGGGATATATGGAGAAAAAAATTTACGGCAGAAACTTCCGTCCAGTTAACGTCGAAGAACTTTGGGAGGCAATTGAAAACGCATGGGATAACATCACTGAGGATTATAACAAGAACATTAATTTTATTAATGCCATGTAGATTGCAGTGTTATAGACAAAAATGGTGCATGGACAAAATACTAACTTTACGAATCGCGTTTTTTTTTTGACTACAAAAATTGTTTCATTTCTAGATCTCGCTGACGGCGAATGAATGGCCGTTAGAATGTATAACATATTTCAATATTAGAAAAATAAATCATTTGCTACCTAATTTGGATTTGTTTTGCTCACTAGAACTAGTATGATAGACACATATTAAATTTGACATAATGACAGCCGATTTGAACCTCACATTTTCAAGTCAGCTTCACAAAGGCCAATTATAGACAATTTGCTTATAAGAGTCGTCCACTTTCAAAGGGCCGGCACTGTACATTGTTCTGCCAAAAAGCATTCGTACGTTTTCTCCATAATAGGCATCATTACGAAGTAAACTGACATTTTATAAAATCATTCCTGATCTTAATTTTAGCAGAACTGTAGCAATCAACAACTGAAACGCTCAACTCAATCTCTATTCCAAAATTTTCCAAAACAACGCGAAGATCATGTTCTAGAAAATCTAAAAATCCATCGGAATTTAAACGTTGAGACAAAAATACAACACCAACCGGTTCTCCAATAATAAAACCCATCCAAACATTCACACTAAATTCATTTTGAAATGATGACGGCCTAATAGCATGCGGGTTTTCATGTTGTCACAAGTGTAAATTGTGATGGTTCACAACGCCTCGCCTCGTGAAACACGCTTCGTCTGTCCACAGAACCTTAGAGACAAAATCAACATCATTTTCGATTTGATTTAATAACCAACAGGAGAAATTCATTCGATTCTGCGCATCTCCAGGATGCAAATTTTGAACCTTTTTAAAATGATATGCATGTTGATGATCTTTTTAAGAGTTCACCTATACTACTGGTACAGTTTCAGGAATCAACATCACAGATAATAGTCAATTATCCAGGAATGTGATTTAACATTTTTTAGATAAGGAGTACTGAAGCCAAATTAAAACAAGGTGAGCGCTTCAGTTGTTGATTAAAACAATTCTGCTAAAATTAAGATGGATGATTTTATAAAATGATGTCGGTTTACTCCGTAACGGTGGTTATTATGGAGAAAATGTAAGAATTCTTTTTGACAGAACAATGTACGGACAATTGAAATTACTTATTATTTTGAAAATCAGTCAGTGGCGTAACACATACTTTTTATAAAAGTTATCGGCAAGTGCGAAATGCACGCCACTGGCTCTTTCTGTCGAGCTGAGATTTTGGGTATTAGTACTAGTGCACTGTGGCATTCACCACACAAAATTTGAGAACAATTGATTTATAACTCTAAGAGATATTAACAAAAAATGAAAAAAAAAATAAAACTTCAACACCCTGTATTTCGGAAAGGGTTCAGAAATTTATAAGTTCCTTTAATTTTATCAGACCTACCTTTTCCTGAAAATTTTCAGAATAAAAATGGGACACCCTGTATACGTATTACTTATACGGATTAAAAGTGTTACTGCCGAGGTACCTATACAGGGTAGTTTACGAGACCACTAGGTGAAATTAGCCTAATAACTTGTATCAATGCACTATTAATTTTATATTATTCATTTCACAGAATTTTTATAAAAATATTAATTATATTTCTGTTATAATTTCGGTGGTTCTGTAGCACTTATGAAAGAGCGACCCCTGCTATAGAGTAAAGGTAACATTCATTAGACAAGATGTCACTGAAAATAAAATTTTCCTTTATGAACATAACTGTCTTTAGCCACTATAGGGAGAATCTTAAGAGAAAGTGCCGAGTTACAGGCTCTAAACAATGATGACGGTAAAGTAAAATTTAGTTGTCATAAAAAATTCATACAAAAACGAGCATACCAGTACGGGAACAAATGGATATTAGAAACATCATTTATAATTTTCACAAAACGGAAGGATGTCTGTCGAGTTACAACATTAACAAAATTAAAAATGCATAATTACATACCTGCAAAACGAAATTCGAGTTGATGTGGTAGTAGAAGACTTGATTATAACAGCTTCCGATAGTGAAAGTTCTATTGATGAAGATGATTTCGAAAATTTATTAGATTAGACAATAGCGGATTAGTATACAAGGTGTCCCACCAGGAATCTCCACTCTCGATATCTCGGAAGGTACTGGTCCGATAAATCTGAAAATTTGGCAAACTAGCAAAGGCAGTAGGGCCAAATATTTCGACCTTTATAGCACTTCCGGGTATACCAAAACTCGAAATTAACTCTTATTTTAAATAGGACACCCTATATATTATTATATTTTCGGATTCTACTTGAAATTAGAAAGTCACTTTATTAAATATTCCCTATATCTAGTAGTTATAGATTTTGAGATACTAATTTTTTAAGAAAAAATTTGGCAGATGCAAAGTAACTCTGTTCAGGAGAGTGATATTAAGTGGATTTTTGGTACCTGTAAAGGGCATAGGCAAAACTAGATCATGATATATCAAAATATTAAATCGTTTAATACTAGGTTTTTCATTTTTGCCGTTACATTGTGATAATTGTTATCAAATTGGTCACGACCAGAAACAAAAACAATTAAATAACTTGACATTTGTCAAGTTAGTTGTCAAATTATTGTTGTGTCTGTAATAGTTTTTACCGAAAATTTAAATAAAAATGCCTGGGGATCGTTTAAATGATACTAATGAAGTTTATTTTAATTTGTTTATATGTATATGGACAAAGTAATTTCAAGAACATGTAAAGAACTTGATGCCCGACATCCAGAAAAACGAAGACCTTCACGAAATACAGTAAGAAGACTAGTAATGAGTTATGACTGAAAATGTAGCAAAGGAACCTACAGAGCTATTTCCGTATTTTCATCATAAACAATACCTAGGTATTTTTTTAATTCTGTATTAGTTTTTAAGTATTAAGTATAAGCGTAAGCTTTATCCACAAATTGCCTTCATGGTTCTTCGTTTTTCTGGATATCTAGCAGCAAATTCTCTACATGTTATTGAAATTAGTTTGTCAGATTTTCCATAAATATCAAACAAATTAAAATAATCCTCATTAGTATAATTTAAACGATCTCCAGACATTTTGATTTAAATTTTCGTAAAAACTATTGTAGACACAACAATAATTTGACAATTAACTTGACAAATGTCATGTTATTTCAATTGTTTTTGGAATGTTTCTGGTCATGGCCAATTTGATAACAGGTCTGATAAAAGAAAAACTGTCCAAAAAATAGAAAATTGCAAATATCTCTAAAAGTAGTAATAGCAACCCTAACAAAGCTTAGTAAAAAAATACAGAGTGTTCCATTTAAGTTAACAAAGTTTCGCTGTTTCAAGTTATCAAAATGTAATAGCAAAAATGTTTTAATTTGTTGGTATACCATAATTTAGTATGACCTATGCCCTTTACAAGTATCTACCAAAAATCCACTTTATATCACCCTTTTGAATTGTGCTATTTTGATATATTATTTTTCAAAAGATATGTTGATGATCGCACTTCCCGAAGATAAAATTGACAATATTTGAAATGCATTTAACAAATCCTAAATTACAATTTTCCATTGAAATTTAACCTTAATATCACCCTCCTGATTTTGTGCTATTTTGATATATTATTTTTCAAAACATATGTTGATGTCGCACTTCCCGAAGATAAAATTGACAATATTTTTAATGCATTTAACAATTTTCATTCTAAATTACAATTTACTATTGAAATTGAAAACAATAACAAAATTAACTTTATTGATAAATAATAAAATTTTAACTAAATGGTTCACAAAACCTACTTCATTCGGTAGATATTTAAATTTTAATTCCCACCATTCTATAACATAAAAAAGTATTGTTATTGGTTTAATTAATAGAGCATTGCACTTTAACCAGTTATATTTACCGACCTCATCAATAAAGTAAAAAATATATGACAGAATAATAATTATCCACCCAAATTTTTTAATAAAATTATTAAACAAAGAATTTCTACTTTCTATTATAAATCAAGAAAGAAAGAAACCGTAGTCTCTAATTAAAATTTTGTTAATTTTCAAATATTTCATTACCATATAATTATACAATGTTTAATCCGAAAAAAAAATATTTTATTTAAATTTATTTTATCCGACAATATATCTGTCGTTCATACATCGTTTAACCAATTAAAAAAATTATTCATACCTTTGAAAAGTAAAACTCCTGTCTCATGTTGTATTCTCTATTCCATGTAATGATTGCAATGGTCAATATGGTACGACTTCACAAAATTTAGAAAACAGATTAAAAGGTCATAAATATACAAAAAACTGTTTAATAGCTCTTAATAAACAAATGAAAGATAAAAACATTCACTTAATTTTGATCAAACTAAAATTTTAGTCAAAGAACCAAATTACAACAAAAAACTAATTCAAGAAATATTAGAAAGAATAAAAGTAGTATTAATAACAAAACTGGTATTAAAAATTTAAGTCATATATGTTTTAATTTAATTAAATAAACGTAATTATTTTTAATAGATTTATTCACAAACTGTCTTTTTGGTAAACAATCCACTTTTTATTTTTTTTTGTTTTCTGCTATTTTATTTTCCTGGCAGAATGCCAGGAACGGACTATGCCCAATGGTTAATCACCCAGAATTTTTGCATAGATAACAATCGCAATCTGCATGTTGTATCAAAAATAACTTCCATGAATAATTGGCCAACAATAATACCCTCTTGGTTCGTCTCGGTAAAATTAACAGTTTAGGAAATATTTGTGATTTTATGTCACAGTGCACATCAAGCGGCGCCTCCTCCATTTTTTGTTTTTAAATAATTGACTTGTAATGTACGTGAAAATTGAAACTTTTTTGAAAAAGTTCCCGATCGGGTGACAAATAAGAACAAAAAAAGTTTAGTGTACGNAAAAAAATAATTTAAAAGAAAGAAAACTATCAAAATACATATTCACTATATGTATTTTGATAGTTTTATTTCTTTTATATTATTTTTTTAACCTTAACTTATTCTTATTTTGTTTTTCTATATTGTGTTGTCTAAAGTGAGTTTGTCAAATTTTGTTAGTAAAAATAACATTAGCAGGCAGTAAGATTTTCTAGGCTCTTATTTAAAAAATATGTACGATTCTAATATAGTAATTATGTCCAATTAAAAATTAAAAACAAAATCACAAATACTTCCTAAACCGTTAATTTTACCGAGTTGAACCAAGAGGTTGTTATCGTTGGCAAAATCTTCAGGGAACTTATTTTTGATACAGGGAGATTGCGATCGTCATCTATGCAAAAATTCTGGGTTGTTAACCATTGGGCATAGTCCGTCCCTGGCATTCTGGGCATACTGAAGTTTCACTTACAACGTTAAAAACAAGCTGTACGTATATGTTATCGATGACCAAATTTGCATCATGCTGACGTTTATGGTTTAGAGAGTGTAAATAAAAATAACTTTTTAATTTTCTCATTTGAGGGCCCGTAACTTGTTAACGAAGGCCCGTATGAAAAAAATTTATATGAAGAACTGATATTATTTTGACCTCATCTATCTATACTTTTTTTGTACCGGGACACCCTGTATATTAATCTTCTGAAAATAACGCGGAAAATTTCAAGGCACGCCGCCGTAAATTGTTACTGTAGATCCGATAACAGAACTTTATTGGCTTATTCTTTTCTTGGAATTCTATCTCAACAAATATTGTACGGACACTGTATTTAGCGTGATATAAATATCATTGAGTATTTCATTTAATTTTTTATTAAAAGTTGTGCCTAATGGATGAACTTGTTGATATGTTGTTAATCCACGACGAGTGCCAGCAAAATGCTGCAAATGCATCGTGTCGTTGTACAGAATGTTTTCCGCGGAAGTTGTGGTTCGCAACTGGATTAATAAATCTAATATGTGCAGTTCGCAGACCGTTGCGGAGTCCTACATTAACCGGACCGTAGCCTGAGTTTCCATATAGTCCTTTACTTTTTTATTACAGTTCACATATGCTGCAACATTAACCAACGCAAATATACTCCATTAATTAGCGACTAAAATCAACAGTATTAAAAGGTTACCTTTAAATTCATTTCAGTGACCCGGATGAAATTCCAGTATACAACACTGCTGCTGGTGAGAAGACGGCATTGACCTACAAAGAATTAATGGATTATGGCCGAAAAACAATGTGGGACGCACCGTATCCAAATTTATTTTGGTATCCCTCAGTTGCAATGGTAAATAACTTATACAAGTTTTATGCATATTTTCTTTTATATCATCTGATACCTGCATTAGTTGCTGATGGTTTACTAAAGGCTTTTGGAAAGAAAACAATGTAAGTAAATGGTCTAACGTCATTATGGTGCCCTTCCTATTTCATAATATACAGGGTGTCCCGACACGTCAGATTACTTCTGAGAAGTGATAGAACACTTCAAAATAAGAAAACATTTTATATACAGGGTGTTTCAGGATTAAGTCGACAAACTTTAAGGAGATATTCCTCATAAAAAAATAAGAAATAAATCAAGTAAAATTTTTTTTCCTGAGACGCTTCATTTTCGAAATATTAGGGCGTTAAAGATTTAAAAATAAATTCGAATTTTTTAAATAACTTCTAAATGAAGAAGGCTATTTAAGCCAAATTTGGCATGACACATCTTCTTATAAGATACAATTTTTCTATAGAAGTAGAAGTCCCGCAAGCAACCAGTGGCGAAGTTAAGGGGACTTTTAGATAGAACAGTTTGTTATTGACAAAAAGTGTACATTAACTTTTTTTTCTAACTCTTATAGTTTCATGGCAAAATTGATTTTTCGGAAGGGTGCTTCTGGATTCTGTCGATAAACTTTAGGAAGACGTTCCTCATAAAACCTAAAAAAATATAGTACCTATTAAAATTGGTCTTAGTCTCGAGTATGTGTGAGTCAAATAAGCCTTTTTGTCTCCCCTTCCCTTGGGTTTAACCAATAGTATTAAAATTATTTAGGAGATGCTTCGTTTTTGAGATATAGGGTGTTTTTTTTTGAAAAAAAAATGATGAAAACAATAGAAATATTTAAGTACCTAACATCTAATGTGACTATGTCGTAATGCGACAACGTAACGACCCTTGCAATACTCCTAAATTTTTTCAGGCGGTTTGTAGTCACTTCATTTACTTGTGTTGTGTACTTTTAAATAAAATAAGATGGCAAACAATACATGAAAATTTATTTGTAAATTGAAACAACCAAAAAATTACCAATTAATATTATACCTAGACAAAGCGAAAAGTGAATCAAAAATGAAATGATTTAAAAAATATTTTGTTCAAAATGGGCGCCTCCGGACTGTAGACAAGCACGACATCTTCTAATTATGGAGGTAGTGGCCGATCGACACTGAATTGGAGTTAATTCTCGACACGCTTGGACTATTCGCTGTCTTAGATCTTCTAGGGTATCAACTGGCACCTCGTAGACTTTTTGTTTAACAGCACCCCAAACGAAATAATCCATCGGTGTCAAGTCCGGTGAACGTGCGGGCCACGCTGCAGGTCCTCCACGACCAATCCATCTCCTGGGATAATTAATGTTTAACCACTCCCTAGGACCTCTACCAAAATGGGCAGGACAACCATCTAGTTGAAACCAACTGTTCATTCGAGTATTAAGCGGAACATCTTCTAACAGATCTTGAAAACCATTTTCAAGGAACTCGGTAAACATGTCAGCATTTAACCGATGCGGAAGGAAGTAGGGACCAACTATAGTGTTGTCCAACACACCCAACCATACGTTACATTGGAATTCATGCTGAAAACTATGTTCCCTTACCGCCCGTGGATTCTCGTAGGACCAAATATGGTTGTTCCTTTGGTTTAAAATTCCCCTTCGAGTAAATGTTGCCTCATCTGTCCACATTACTTTTTGCGTAAACTGATCATCATTCTCTGCTTGGTTTAACATCCAGTCACAAAACACGCGCCTGCATCGTATGTCCTGAGGCAATAAATGTTGCACACGCTGGATATGGTACGCATGGCGTCCATCAGCCCGAAGAGTCCTCCAAATGGAACTTGACGAAATACCTAGCTCATAGCTAGATCTTCTGACACTCGTGGATGGATTTTCATCGAAATGGTTTAAAATAGTATTCGATCTTACTTCGTCCTGAAGTGGGGCAAAATGTCCATCAGCATAAGTTGGAATACCGAAAGACCTAGTTTGTCTGAGACGACTGAATGTCGTTGAAAATGTTTCCTTTGCTGGTAGTCTGCGATGAGGAAATCTTACTGCATATTCACGGCGAGCCGTCGTGGCATTTCCATCACAAAAACCATAGGTATACAAAGACCATATCAGCATATTACATGTTTCGAAAATATGGACGGCATTAAGTATTAAACTTATTTTTATTATTAATTTGAACGTTTTATCTAATGGTTAATTTATGCAACAATTCGCAAAATAACATTTAAAACGTCAAATTAACATTGCTTGGCAGCAGCCTACTCCAAAATTTTTGTTGAGGTTCATTTTAAAGTTTATCGACAGAATCCAGAAGCACCCTTCCGAAAAATCAATTTTTCCATGAAACTATAATAGTTCAGACGGTATCTGTTTCAAAAAGCCATATTTGGGTGAATCGTATATCCACGGAGATTTTTGGCTTTTTGGCTTCCAAATATAACTAGAAATAAAAATTTTTCTATGCGCATAAAAAAAACGTGGGCTTAACTTTTGGCGGCACAAAATTCGAAAAATGTCATATTTTTCTTCCTATTTAATTATGTATCTTTTCAAGAGTTGATTTTAGGCGAAAATGGAAGAGGTAAAAAATGTTTGCGGTTAAATTTTTTACAGAACACGTCAAGTTACAAATCGAATGAATCATTTATGGTAAAAATCGAAAAAATCGCAAAAATGGGGTTAAAAAACAATACTTTACAATACAATTTTCTTTAGGGTATTTAAATTGGGTATAGGACCTTTATATTTGGCTCAAAAAAACTTCATGTTATGTAGAATTATCACAACAAATTTCATCAAAATCGGTTCGATAGATTTTGCATAATAATTTTGCAATTCAGATTTTGAAAAAAAAATTGCAAATTTTCAAAATTTTGCACAGTAAAAACCAAGGCCCTTAAATACTTGAAAATTAATCACATATAGAAGGGCTCTCAAGCTTTCAAACTTTTGTTGAAAAATTCGAATTTGTCAATTAGGAGAGCTGTGGCGCTTGTTTAAACATTTGTCGAATTTTTGTACTTATAAACAATTAGAACTTTGTGAATATTCAATCAAATCAAATTTTTTAAAGCAGGTTTCAAAAGTTCTTGGAAAGACGCTTCTTTAAAAAAAAACAGAACGATTGGTCAATTGGTTACATAGTTATAGCCGATTCAATTTCGAGCAGGCCGAAGAGGCCGCGCCCTCTGCTTCCCCCACCACCACCACCCGTACGATTTTATTGAATTTCTCGCTTGCATGAAAAACTTTAAACACGTTTTAAAGTAGGTTGCCAATGAAGAAAAGTATTGTAATCTTAGACCTGGTAAGTACTCGGAATACCGAAGGTATTTTTCGAAAAATTAGCCCGGATGTCCCAGTACATTTAGTGTAAATGACGGCTATAA